AACAGGCGAGTAATGCATTGTACTACAATGTTACAATGGCTACATCACTAGGTGATAGAAACTTTTCAGCTCTATTATAATCTTATGGGACCACTATAATATATGCAGTTCACCATAGACTGAAACATCATTATACAACACATGACTGTACACAGGAGGATGTGAATAGGTTATACGCAAATACTATGACATTTTATATAAGGTACTTCAGCATCTAGATTTTGGTATCCACAGGGGTCCTGGAAATAATCCTGCAAAGATACTGAGGGATAATTGTATATAAAAAGAACTATACATCATGACCAAGTGAGATTTATCCCAGCTATGCAAGTCTAGCTCAACACTCAAAAACCAATTAATGTAATCCATTAAATCAATAAGCTAAAGAAGAAAAAAACACATGATTATATCAACAGACACAGGAAAACCATTTGAGAAAAATCCAACACCCATTCATGATTTTAAAAAAAAAACTCTCAGTAAACTCTCAGTTATTTTGAGGATATCAATAAACTAAAAAAGGTTTATATGGAGAGGCAAACGACCCAGAATAGCCTTCTGCAAATTTGTTTTTTAGATGTGAATATAGAATTTCACATATTTATTTTTCCTGCTCTCAATTTTTTTAATTTGATGCATCTGAGTGCTTTTGTAACTTTGTTCTGTCATCCAATCTTTTTTTCATTTTTATGTTATTCACAAATTTTCTAAGTATGCCTTCATTTTGTCATCCTGACATAAACTTATTTTTATTACATTGTTTGAGTCTTTTTGGAAAATAAATTCTCCAAATTTATTTCTTCTGCAGCAGGAAAACAAGTTTTGATACATAATCTCAGGGTATCTATCTACCTTAATGCTATTAATATAAATTGTTTCTTCATGGTTTTGATTATAACGAAATTTTCATAAAACAAGTTTTAGTTTTTCAGACATCATACATTTTACACTACTATTACTTCATTATACAATAATCTAAATAATTTTGAAACTATTTGCCTCAAAAAAAGAAGAAACTCATATTTTTTATTCTATTAGTAAGTAATGTTCTTAACAGGAAAGCAAAATTCTTAATCTACTAGAACCAGGAGAATTCTATCTTCAGGAAAGTATTTTAGCTATTAATAACACTGTCTACTGTATCACACAGTTGATGAATTTTATTTTCTTTTAAACTTTTTCCTTAGCTGTTGCTCTTGCTAGAGCTACTAACAATCTTTAAAGAAGAAACTCATGATTGGACACGGTGGCTCGCTCATGCCTATAATCCCAGCACTTTGGGATGCTGAGGCAGGTGGATCACCTGAGGTCAGGAGCTTGAGACCAGCCTGGCCAACATGGCGAAGCCCCGTCTCTACTAAAAATACAAAAATTAGCCAAGTGTGGTGGCAAGCACCTGTAATACCAGCTACTCTGGAGGCTGAGGCAGGAGAATCACTTGGCGGAGGCTGCAGTGAGCCAAGATCGGCCACTGCACTCCAGCCTGGGTGACAGAGTAAGACTCTGTCTCAAAAAAAAAAGAAAAAGAAAAGAAAAGAAAAATATTTACAATCTTTTGCAGCAACAAGGATGGGGCCGGAGCTGGAGACCATTATCTTAAGTGAAACAACTCAAAAACAAAGTCAAATACCACATGTTCTCACTTAAAAGTGGGAACTAAATAA